TAAAGTATTTGTCCATTAACCAGGACACCCTTGTTTTTCCCCCTTTTTTGCCCCTAATTCCTAAACGGTTTGAGCCATAACCCCCCAAAGCAAATCCTAACCATCCCTTTGTGGTATGGAAACTTGTGATATAATTTCAGAGAGATCCATACACCGTTCCACAAGTTATTATTGTCTGGAAACTAGAAAATGCTTATTTTTGGCCCCTTTTTGGCCCCTTATTCCTAAACTGTTAGTACCATAACCCCCAAAATCAATCTCAACCTTCCTTTTGTGGTATTTAACCTTATGGTAAAATTTCATAGAGATCCATTTACCTAAACTAAAGTTATAGTGCGAACACCAATGTGTCTTCGGACGACGACGACGCCAATGTCATACCAATATACGACCGCAAAATTTTTTTGCGGTCGTATAAAAATTGCTTAATTTTTAGTTTCTGTTCTCTACTTAAGTTAGCCTCAACCAAATGTTATGAGACTTACACACAATGCTTATTACCACAAAACTCAGATCAAGTTCAAATTTGGGTAGCTTCACTTTTACTGTTCTTCAGTTATGTCCCTTTATAACTATATGATATGAAAGCGGGGGCATCATCTGTGTCCACATGTGGACACTATCCACATTTATTTGAGATGATGTTTTCGTTTAAAGTTGGAAAAAATGTTTGAACCAACAAAAATAAATACACAAAGTTAATCCAGAATTATGTGTTTATCATTTTTTTAATGTTCAGGTTGCCAGCAACTGAGCAAGATGAAAAGAACAATGCAGTTCATAAGTCAAAATGTGGATTAGCTGAGGTACAAGGTCCTACTTTTGCAGATTTTCATATTTTGCATGAATGAATTTGAAGTTTATATCATGGAGGGATGAGAAAGAAAAGAAACACTTCAATTTGCCTGCTTCTGAAGGATAAATGTAAAACATCTTGTTTGGTAAGTTTTATGCTCTGTTTTCATAGTGTTTGTGCATGCATCTGTCTTTCTCTAAATTGTATTCGCTTAAAGTTTTTGGTTACAGTTCACCGTGAACTTCAGTTAGTAACTTTTGGTTTTACATGTATATGCTCAAAATTTAGTACTTTAAAATGTTCATGTATTTTTGTCGAGCCAGCGACAGCTCGACATAGGGATAGTGATCCGGCAGCGGCAGCTACGGCGGTGGCGTTAGCTAACTTCCTAAAAGCTTTATATTTTAGAAGGTGGAAGACCTGGATGCTTCATACTTTGTATATAGATGCATCATGATACGAATTCTGTCTGTCACATGTCCATTGTCCTTGACCTCATTTTCATGGTTCAGTGACTACTTGAAAAAAAAGTTCAGATGTTTTGTAATGTTAATTTCTCTCTTATTATGAGTAATAGGATAACTATATTTGGTATGTGCGTACCTTGCAAGGTCCTCATGCTTGTCAGAGAGTTTTCACTTGACCTCGACCTCATTTCATGGATCAGTGAACAAGGTTAAGTTTTGGTGGTCAAGTCCATATCTCAGATACTATAAGCAATAGGTCTAGTATATTCGGTGTATGGAAGGACTGTAAGGTGTACATGACCAACTGGCAGAAGTCATCTGACCTTGACCTCTTTTTAATGGTTCAGTGATTACAGTTAAGTTTTTGTGTTTTGGTCTGTTTTTCTTATACTGTATGCAATAGGTCTACTATATTTGGTGTATGGAATGATTGTAAGGTGTACATGTCTAGCTGGCAGGTGTCATCTGACCTTGACCTCATTTTTATGGTTCAGTAGTCAAAGTTGAATTTTTGTCTTTTTTTCTAATACTAAATGCAGTAGGTCAACTATATTTGGTGTATGGAAACATTTTATGATGTACATGTCAGTCTCGCAGGTTTTATTTGACCTTGACCTCATTTTCACGGTTCATTGCTCAGTGTTAAGTATTGTGTTTTGGTCTGTTTTTCTTAATCTATTAGCAATAGGTCAACTATATTTTTGAATGGAAGGATTGTAAGCTGTACATGTCTGCCTGGCATGGTTCATCTGACCTTCACCTCATTTAATCCATGGTTCATTGGTCAATGTTTAGTTTTCTTGGTTAAGTCTGCTTCTTAGAAACTATAAGCAATAGGTCAACTGTATTTAGTATATTGAATGATTGTAAGGTGTGCATGTATTTCTTGTCGGGTTTATATGACCTTGAATTCATTTTCTTGGATCATGTTGAGTTTATGTGATAGTTGTAGTAAAGCTTTATATTTAGGACTATCAACATAATATCAATGATTAGTAAAGAAGGCGCGACATTTCAGCTTGTGCACTCTTGTTTATACATTATACACCACATTAACTGATTTTACCCTGATTTTTTGGATCACTGAACATAGAGATGTCATAATGTGAAATTATAGTACATTCTTAGGTTAAAGTTTTAGGTTAAGGTACATAGCTTACCATGAAGTTGAATTTCATACACATGTTCATTATGTGGTGAACTTTTATATTCAGTGCCAAACTAAGATTTTGAGCCTGATTACATGATTGACTAGAAATTGACACATGCTAGTGTTTGCCAGGCATGGTGTCCTGTACTAGGAATTTGTCCTGTACTAAGAACTTTAATAGTACTCGCTGAGTATGGAGTTTTTGTGAAAGTTTAATATTAGTGGGATTTTTCCATGACATCCTGTCAACTGCTTGTTGATCATGTTTATACATGTCTTAAAATTAATATCTGACACATTGGTGTTTTGTGAACTTGGAAATAAGTTATTTGATAGAATAATGTTTTGAGATTATCAAAATAAAAAATATCCCATTTTTACTATTAATTAATAATTAAGTATTGAAAAAAAGAAGATTTAGGATATTACATAACCATATATAAAAATGAGACAGCAACCGAACAACACAAAAATAAGAAAAAAAACAATATAATTTTTTGTATCAATGTTATAATTTCCAACATGTCCAAAGAGTTCAAGGTATTTTCTCCTTGAAATAAAACACAAGTTGAACTCTTTCAGAACTTCAGAAGCTTAAAGAAGTGCTGTTTCTATTGTTGGCGTTTTGTATAATATATTGCAAATTCTTGTGAAAAATGGAATGTTATTGTAATTGCCTAAAGTTTTAACATTGATCTATATATATATCTATATATAACTAGGGAAAATACCCAAATGTTATAAAGAAGAATACATAAATTGATTGTTATATAATATTAGAATAGGAAGATGTGGTATATTGCTAATTTGACAACTCTCCATCAGAGACCAAAGGATGTAGGAGGTTAGCAACTGATGACACTGGACAACCTTCAACAATCAGTAAAATCCATACCACATAGCTATTTTTATTGAAAATCATATGTTATTGCTACATGTATGCAAACAATTTTTATTATCCATAACTTCGGATTTTATTGGTTCTTTTTCAGAAGGATTGAAATTCATCACTTAGAATAAAAGGAGAAAACACAGAAACAAGACTAGAATAAATTCAAAGATAAAAGTCAGATCAGTTAATATTTTCATCACTCAGTCAATGAATAGACAACTTTCGAGTTCGTTGCATTTCCGTCAAAAACTTTGGTTTTAGTGAACATCATTCGTGCGTTTAGGGGCGTCGTCACTTCTGTTCCTATGTTGAGCGAGTGGTTGGAAAAATATAATGCTAAATTGCACGAATCATTCGGAAAATTAAATTCCTATAATTGATATTCAGCACTGCTGTCATTAGGGAATTGTGATTAAGTACCTACGGAACAAATATTATTTCTAGTTTAACCTGCATAATGACGATCACAAAGACGCTTGATGAACTTTAATGGAGCAGGAATACAGGCGATCCCCTCTATCTGGTAAATGACGTCACAAAGGCACACAAAATTGACGAACTTTTCCGGTGAAGGACATAACTCGAAAGTGGTCTATTGAAGTTCTATTAAATACCTAAAGATATTAAAACCACAATAATGACAATGTTCTGTGTTGAATGGCCAAAAAGTGGACTATACAGTACGATTACACAATGCTGGATGATAAGAAACTATTAATTTTTTGGGTGGAGGGATATCCTGAAAAAAATAGATTTATGTAAAAAGCTACTAGTATGTTAAGCCTAATAATAGAGTTTTCATTGATTTCAAATGGGAAATAATTGTGTTTCAAAAAAATATTCAAGAATTCATAAATAAACATATATTGATACTTACATTATCTGCTTTGTTGTTTAAAAGTTTAGTTTTGAACAGTTATAGAACAATATAATTGCATTAACATTTCAAAGGAAAAAAGATATTCAACTAAAAAGATTAATCTTAAATAATTTACTACCAAACAGAATTCATTGTAACATACAAATTACTGTATATTTATAATTTGAATCCCATAGGATTGTATTTTGTCCCATGGGATATTAAAAATCCCATGGGATAATTATAGTCCCATGGGATTTTTTTTGTCCCATGGGGCAACAAACATCCCATGGGACTACAATTATCCCATGGGACCCAAAAAAAATCCTATGGGATTTAACCAAAATCCCATGGGATAATGGTCAATCCCATGGGATTTGCCCTATCCCATGGGATATTGAAAATCCCATGTTTTTATAAATCAAATTACAAAATATATATAATAATAACAGCAGAAAAGCAATGAAATTATTGAATCCCATGTAATTCCGCACATTTTGGTTATATACACGACACTGTAGCTCTAAGGAGAGGCGGCGGCGGATTTGCAAATGAGTGTTTTGCAAATTAAAAGTGTCCAGTGTTTATAGTTTTAATGATTTATGGCTGGTAAACGCCGAAATGCAATATCAGTACAAGGAAGACCCTGCTAAGCTATAGACCATCATATGACTAGTCAGCACTTTAGTGTGCTAGACTTCCAAACGACGACTTGTTCATTTTGATAGCCGACCAATTTATCAGATACCGTAATTTATATAAAGAAAGTGTTTTCTGTTAGCGGCGATTTATTGAAAAAGACGTGACCATTCATTTAATGGAATAAAGTATATTACCTAAAGCCAGTTCAGAGATAGTCGAATGAAGACTATCACATTCTGCTCCAACTCCAGGTTGTCTAGGATACATTAGTAGCAGCTTGTTTCGTCTTGACTCGTGAATTGCTAAGGAAATTTCCTCCAATTTTCGTAGAGATTTGGCGTATTTTCCTTTTGCTTGTTTAATAGCGCTCTGCAGATCTGTTACATTTTGTTTTTGTTGCTACCATATTTAGATTGAAAAAGTGAAAAGTTATGTTTAGTATCATATATATATTTAACAACTTAAACAAATTGGGGAAAACTAATAGAAAATGGTAAGTTGAATGCTTTTATGCTTTTCGTGCATGGGTATGATTTACTGGGTAAAAAGATAACCTGCATAACATTTGATAAATATGTAAACAAACCAATCAATGTGAATCAAAAATGAAAATGACAAAAGATAAATAGAAAGCTCACGAATCAACGAAGGGATTTCTTTGTCGACTAATCCACTATATGAGTGTTCTGGCTAAGATTTATTCTTAATTATTCGATTTCTATGGTTTTATGTACAGTTATGCTCCTTATTAACCTTAAAAGTTCAATGGGTTTCTTCGGTTTCCGTGTGATAAAGATAAAACAGCTTGACTTTAACTTCGTACATGACTTGGCCTCCCAACAACTTTGATTCGAACGCCACTGATGCGTCTTATGTAGACGAAACTTGCGTCTGGCGTACCAAATAACAGGTCAATTATCTTCGATGAGTTTTGACTATTTTTTATTAATTTGAACATATTGTTATCTATCATAAAATACAGGTCAAACTCGATTTTAATAGTTATGACAGTTACCTTTAGTTAGCAAGGAGTAAAATTAAAGTACCACTTGACCAAATCATTTTTAAATTGAATATAATGCGTGAAACACAGGTTAAGTGCGATTTTTATGGTTTTTAGATTTACAGTTCAAAAGTAATCCTCCTTAAGGTAGATAGGGTGTCTTCCTCCATCTTGGATTTTGAAATACCAGAAAACAATCGGTCTAGATCTTTAATAAAAGGTGCAAATATTGAGAGTAGTTGGTAATTCATGTGTAAGAATTTTCATTTGAATAGAGAAAATGACATATTTTATCATATTTATGGTTGTATTTTACAAAAAAACAGAATACTTTCGTTTGATTCTATTTTTTCCAACTTTGCCACATAAGGGGAGGCAACTCAAATGTAAGGGCAGATAATTCAGATTAAGTTACTTTTACAATAGAATGTGTTAGGAATTTACCTATTTTATTATGTAGCAAGAAAACGGGTCCCGTGACCCCATTTTTTCTTTTTCTTATCTGAAAGCATACTATTAGAGCTATCTTCTCATATTTTATCTCAAAATTCTATGGTGTAGTTTTCGTTTTATGGCAGAAAATTGGGTTTTTCATGCATAATCTATACAAAATCTGTCAATTTTGCACAATCTGTAACGTGAAAATAAGCCCCGTGACCCATTCTTTTTATTAGTTTTTTTAAAAAAGCATGATATAAACTACATTTTGGCAAATTATTAAAAAATTCTATGGATCATAATTTAGACACCCCATCTACCTTAAATACCTTAAAACTTTGATTTTTTTTTTCCATGTGATAATGAAAGTACCATTTTACAAAATCTTTCTAGATGGTGACACAAAGCTAAAAATAATGAAATACAGGTCACATTCAATTTGAGTGTAGTTTCTGGCATTTACCGTTTAAAGAGTTTTCTGAAAGCGGGGATGTCTGAAAAAACTAGATCACTTAATTTATAGATTACCTTATTAAATCAACATTGAATATTGGTTACAAATTTCAACAACGAAGAAAATGTTTACCACTACAATTTTTACGGCTTTTTTGATTTATTGATTGCTTGATTGTTGTTTGCTATACATCCAGTGGCAAAAGATTTCGTGCAGGTTAAGGACCAGAACAAATTAACAATAAATACAATAGGTATGTCCTGCATAGGGGCGACCTGGACGGTGGGCGGGAGATTTGAAATGCCACTGGAAAATAAAGTTACATTTTGCCTTGCAACAAGCCACCTGTCACAAGGGTTCTTAACGTGCAGTGAGCGTCTATCAGAACTCAAGTAAGATTGTCTTAGATATCTGTGATGATGAACAGCATGAAAAGAGACCATGTTACTTCTCAGTTAAACCAAATCTCCGTAAACCCGAATCATTACTGTCATAGGTAATATTCTGAAATTCATGATCTCACATGCCTCAAAGCGTGACAAGATTTCAAGAATAAGTTATTCCTACTTCCAGTGTGCTCCTGAAGAAATCGGATAGGTTTGTGGTGTTGCATAGTTACCTGTAATTTGAGGTCCAGTTGGTGCTTCATTTCAAAATATGATCTAAAAATAAAAAGTAGCTTTGTCAAACCTGTAAGAAACCTGCAAGAAAAATTGCTTATATAACTATGAAACATGTTAGTATAATTGATTCTATAACCACCCCGTATCGGTTAGGCATTGTATTGTCAGTTTGGATGTAAACATAGTACCAATTATAGCTACTAGACAATATACGTTTTCATATTTTATGAACATTTTAAGCCTTAGGCATATTTAAGCCTTCCCCTATACACCTTTTGAATTCTTTTTTTCTTCTTATATGTACCAATACAATTTACTCACTCCTTCTCGTCTAATGGAAAATCAGTATTTTCCCTTCTTTTTTTCATAGTACATAGTACTGTTTATCTGTAAAGCTGTTTATAAACTATACACTTGGAAAGCTGTTTATAAACTACACATCGTTTTTTATTTTGTACATAAATCAGGCCGTTAGATTTCTCGTTTGAATTGTTTTACATTTGTCATTTCGGGTCCTTTTATAGCTGACTATATGCGGTATGGTTTTACTCATTGTTGTAGGCCGTACGGTGACCTATAGTTGTTAATTTCTGTGTCATTTAGTCTCTTGTGGAGAGTTGTCTCATTGGCAATCATACCACATCTTCTCATTTTTATTTATATGTAAAGATGTACATATAAATAAGAAGATGTGGTATGAGTGCCAATGAGACAACTATCCATCCAAGTTACAATGTGTAAAAAGTAAACAATGTATATAAACTGAACATATGTAAAAAATGCTTTTAATATGTACATCTGTGAAAAATGCTTTTGATATGTACATCTGTTGAAATGCTTATGGTATGTACATCTTTTGAAATGCATATGGTATGTACATCTTTTGAGATGCATATAAATTGTACACCTGCTGAGATGCATATAACCAATTGTTCATCTGTAAATATGCATAGAAGATCCCCCCTAGAAACTATGTAATTGTATTTTAACTGTTTATTTGGAGAGAGGTATACACATCAACATCTGTTAAAGGGGCATTAACTGTCAAATTCCTGTTCATCGATTTGACCAAAATACTCATATTCTATTGATTATTTGGCACTTAAGTGTTGAGATTTTTTTTGTTTTTCGTTAAAGGAATAACTGTGAAATAGAAAAGTAATATATTTTAAGTCATAAAATAAAAATAAATTAATTTCGATATAGGACTTTCCACAAAATAGCTTCCGAAAGCCAAATTTGATTTTGAAATTACAATTTATACGAATTAATTATCTTGCTGGGAAGTATACTGGTATAAATACTGGTTCGCTGCAGTGCAAAGCAATGATGAGAAGTAAAATAGAAAACAACGTGTTACTTTAATATACAAATATTTCAAGCTTTATAATCGAGTTTTATAAAGAGTATGTTGGAACACAAAATACCATTAATTATTTGTATATCTATATTAACCAAATATTATCTTTATATCAACAGGGATTAAAAACAGTCAATTGTTGACTCTTCATTGAGATTCGTTGCCGTGAATCAGTTCTTCTCAAAAAGGAAAATAACCAACTTAAAATTATAATTTCAGAGTAAAATTCGTGATCCCGGAAATAAGTTTCTGCAAAGGGCTATAGGTTACAAGAGCGCAATTATTGGAAATGCATTTTCCATAGGGTACCAGTGTATTCCATATTTTATTTCTTGAAGACTACACAAACTAGAAAAACGGGTAACAGTTCCTGTTACTAGAAATGTCAGCGTTGCATAACAGATAAAAAATGTATGGTCATGCGGCTAAAGTGAAATGGGAATTTTTAATGGCTCCTTCGTGCAGCAATTGAATATATTTTCTTTACTTAGTAAAATATGGTTTTGATTTCCTGGATCTTTTTTAACCCTTAACGGATAAGCTTACGGCTAAAAGTAGTTCCAATTCTGTATCATCCAATCAAGAGCCGTATAAGATTCTATTCTGAATAATTGCGCTTTTGTAACCTTTACGGTAATGCAATTTTTTTAAATGAAGTTTACGGGGCATATGAATAGCAAGCGTCTATATATTTAGCTAACTCTTATCATAACTTCAAAACTTTATCTCATTACTCTCTAAATTTTGAGAATTTTTCATTGGATGTCGACCCGGCTAACGTTTCTAGTTTAAAACAGTGAATGTTCATCTTCTTTTTATTTTACCTGTTTCCAAAGTACTCTAAAATACTGATTTTATTAGAGATATGAATGAAATTGTGATTAAAAGTTGTGGTTTTTCACAATTCCATACGATACCTACATTTCAAAGTAACTAAAACCCTTCTTGATCCCCTTCACAAATTGACGGTGACATTGTTTTCTTTTTTCAACATACGTCATTCAACGTTAACAAAATATGTGTCAGGGTCATATGCATATTGAAACGTTTAGTAAAGAATAATGAATAATGAAATAGTTCATGTTTCAGTATTTAAGTTGAAAAGTAAATAATGAAATAGATCATTTAATTATTATTTGACTGTGACACAATCCCGTATTTCTGAAATTTGCCATTTTTTATGTCAATTTACATATTTATAAAGCCAAACAAGTACAAAGTTGAAGAGCATTGAGGACCCAAAATTCTAAAAAGTTGTGCCAAATACCTGGGATAAGAAAATCCTTAGTTTTTCGAAAAATTCAAAGTTTTGTAACAGGAAATTTATAAAAATGACCATATAATTGATATTCATGTCAACACCGAAGTGCTGACTACTGGGCTGGTGATACCCTCGGGGAAGAAACGTCCACCAGCAGTGGCATCGACCCAGTGGTGTAAATAGTTATCAAAGGTACCAGGGTTATAATTTAATACGCCAGACGCGCGTTTCGTCTAAATAAGACTCATCAGTGACACTCAGATCAAAATAGTTATAAAGCCAAACAAGTACAAAGTTGAAGAGCATTGAGGACCCAAAATTACAAAAAGTTGTGCCAAATACGGCTAAGGCAATCTATTCCTGGGATAAGAAAATCCTTTGTATTTCCAAAAATTGAAAGTTTTGTAACAGAAAATTTATGAAAATGACCATATAATTGATATTCATGTCAACACCGAAGTGCTGACTACTGGGCTGGTGATACCCTCGGGGACGAAACGTCAACCATCATATACAACAGTCTAAATCTTTTATAACATTATTGATCATTCTTTGAAATCTAGCTGGAGCACTTTTCAGGCCAAACAGCATTACAGTTCATTGAAATAAGCCATCTGTTGTGACAAAAGCTGATATTTCACAAGCTCTCTGTGTCAATGGAACTTACCAGTAACCTTTCAACAAATCAAATTTGCTCACAAATTTTGCTTGACTAATGTTGTCAATACAATCGTCTATCCTTGGAATCGGATAGGAATCAGATTTTGAAACTGAATTTACTTTTCTGAAATCAGTCACATAACGAAAGGTTTTATCTGGTTTGAGCACAAGGAGACAAGGAAAGCTCCATTCACTGTTACTCGGCTCAATAATATCATTGTCAAGCATATATTTAATTTCTTGTCTCATAAATTCAAGTTTGAGTGGATTGAGCCGGTAAGGATGTTGCTTAAATGGAGAAGCATCGCCTACATCAACATCATGACAAACAGCAGTGGTTTTGTTTGACACATCTGGAAAAAGATTTTTAAAAGAAAATACCAAAGCTTTTTATTTTTTCTCTACGATCAAAAGACAGATGTGCAAGTTTTGAATCTAAATTTGACAAAATTTCTGAATTTTTCAATCTAACTGTCTCTTCCATAGTTTTAGAACCAGAAGGTAGTTCAATTGCATCTGGTTTGCCATGATTGTTCTCCAATTTAACCATTGCTAAAGTGGCAACTGGTTTACTCTCACATTCATTAGTACGCTCAACATATGGTTTTAACATATTAATATGACACACTCTATTTTGTTTGCGCCGACCTGGAGTTTTTACAATATAATTCAAATCATTGATTTTACTCTCGATTGTAAAAGGACCACAATATTTAGCCTGTAAAGGATGTCCAGGGACTGGCAAAAATACAAGTACCTTATCACCAGGCTCAAAAACTCTGTCCATGGCATCTTTATCATACCATATTTTCATCTTGTTCTGTACATTTTATAAGTTTTTCTGAGCAATTTGACAAGCAGTATACAATTTTTCTTTAAATCTAGATACATAGTCTAAAAGATTCAAGTCAGTGTGTTCAGCAAGCCACTTTTCCTTAATCAATTTTAACGGTCCCCTTACAGTATGGCCAAATACCAACTGAAAGGGACTAAAACCAAGGGATTCTTGAACAGCCTCTCGGACCGCAAAAAGTAGAAAGTGAACTCCATCATCCCAGTCTCTGTCAAATTGAAGACAAAAAGTTCTAATCATGTTCTTCAATGTTTGATGAAAACGTTCTCAGGCACCTTGAGGTTCTGGATGATAAGCACTTGATCTATACTGAGCAATCCCTAACTGGCACACGACTTGCTGAAATAAACCTGACATGAAGTTTGAACTCTGGTCGGACTGTATAGACTTCGGAAGTCCTACTAACGTGAAAAATTTGATAAGAGCTTTGACAATAGTAGGTGTCTTGATATTCCTTAGCGGAATAGCCTCAGGAAAGCGAGTGGATGTACACATGATCGTCAATAAATACGCATTTCCAGTCTTGGTCTTTGGTAAAGGTATAACGCAGTCAATTAGTACTCTGCTGAAAGGTTCTTCAAAGGCTAGAATAGGCAGAAGTGGTGCTGGTGGTATTTTCTGGTTAGGCTTACCAACAACCTGGCATATACCCGGTATGGCATGATTTGCAGTATTCTGCGACATCATTTCTAAGTCTTGGCCAGTAGAAATGCTGCAAGATCTTAAGGCAATTCTTCCTTATACCTAAGTGTCCAGCCAAGGGGGTGTCATGGGCAAGACCAATAATTTCTTGCCTATAAACTTTAGGCACCACCACTTGGTATACCACTCTCCATTCCTCCTCTAGGGTAGCATCAGGGGGCCTCCACTTCCTCATAATGCCGTCTTGATGGTAATAGCATTCG